TGTGTGTGTGTGTGTGTGTGTGTGTGTGTGTGTGTGTGTGTGTGTGTGCGTGTCGGTGGAGCTCTGATCTCTTTAACAGATACTAGAGAGAGAAACGTTGTTCGGTCTCTAACGAGCTCTTTAAAGTTGACGGGGTGCGTTTGATTTGCTCTCTGAGAGCAGATGGAGGTTACACTCATTACAGCCGCAGTGAGAACAGGAAGCGGGATGTTTGAGCTCTGATTGGCTGCAGGTATATGTAGGAGAGCGTGTCACTACGCCCTCTCACAGCTGATAGGTGGAGGGATACGCCGCCCGGCCACAAAGTAGTCCTGAGGTTAAAGGACAGTTAAAACAACAAGTGTTCACATGCTGTATGTACAAATACACATCAAAGTATTGTCAGCAAATATACTTAAAATATCAAGGGTAACAGTATTCATTATGTAAAATGACCTGTGGTAATACTACTAATACTACTACTAACTACAGATGAACATAGTACAGCTAAAAGTACAATATCTGCCTCTGAAATGTAGAGGACAGGAAGTATAAAGTACTTGAGCTAAGGAAAAGTACCTCAAATTGTATTTAAGTACAGGACTTGAGAAAATGACAGTACTAGTCGAGTAATATTACAGTACTACTACAGTAATATTACAGTACTAGTACAGCAATATTACAGTACTACTACAGTATTATTAAAGTACTAGTAAAGTAATATTACAGTACTACACCTGTAACCATAACGTCTTGTTTTCACACGCTCACCAGTCGTTAACCAATCAGACGTGTCCCCGCCCCCTCCCTTTGATTGACACATCTCTCCTCCACCTCCACACACACTGATTGAACTCATCTGTTCACTTCTTCTCTCCGAGACATTAATCTGTTGTTTTTCCTTTTTCTGTTTTTCTTTTTCTCTTTCCCTCCATCCATCCCTCCTCTGCTCCGCCCCCCCCCCCCCCCCCCCCCCCCACCACTCAGACGGAGAAATTATCACTCCTACACTTACTACCTGTGAGTAACCTCCGACCCCTCACCTGTAACCTTCACCTTCACATCAAGCCTCAACACCTCAAACCTCCAAGTGTGTCCTGCTGTATCCCTGCTGACCCTAACCAGACCTCCAACCCTTAACCTCTCATCTCTGACTCTTAAACCTCAGACCTCCAACCCTTAACCTCTCATCTCTGACCCTTAAACCTCAGACCTCCAACCCTTAACACTTTGACTGTAAGACTCTAACATGCTAATACGCTAAGACTCTAAGATGCTATGATGCTAAGACGCTAAGACTCTATGCCTCTAAGACGCTAATGTGCCAAGACGCTAATACGCTAAGACGCTAAGACTACCATGCTAAGACTCTAAGATGCTAAAACTCTAAGACGCTAATACTCTAAGATGCTAAGACTCTAAGACGCTAAGACGCTAATGCAATATGACTCTAAGACGCTAATGCAATATGACTCTAAGACGCTAAGACTTTAAGACTCTAAGATGCTATGACGCTAACATGCTACGATGCTAAGACTCTAAAATGCTATGATGCTGGTATTCAAATCCTTTACTGTAGTTAAAGTATATGTACGAATACCACACTGTGAAAATACTATACTACAAGTAAAAGCCCTGCATTTCAAACCTGACTGAACTAAAAGGTTTTAAGTATTATCAGCTAAATGTACTTAAAGCAGATGTAGGTGAGTAAAAAGTAAAATATGTACCTCTGAGATGTAGTACATTAAAAAGTATGATATGTACCTCTGAGATGTAGTACAGTAAAAAGTACTATATGTACCTCTGAGATGTAGTACAGTAGAAAGTACTATATGTACCTCTGAGATGTAGTACAGTATAAAGTACAACATGTACCTCTGAGATGTAGTAGAGGTAGTAGAAAGTAGTGTTTCTGGAGGAAGAGTTCTCTTGACTCGAGTCCAACACGCCTCCAGCTTCCTCCTGATTGGTTCAACACAGTTTCCTGTTTCAAACTATCATGTGAAAAGTAAAAATACATCTTTGGACTCTTTGATCAATAAGTAGAGATGGAGGAGCAACCTGTGATTCCCTCCAGGTATCTCCAACCGACGCGTCCTCAGGGAGACAGGAAGCACTCCTTCTCAGGTCACTGTGTGTGTGTTTGTTTGGTCTTCACACACACACACACACTTCCCGTCATGTATTAGAAAATATTGAAACATATATCAAATAAGTGAACTCTCCACGGAAACATAACAGGGTTTATTAGTATGTATGTATTTATATTAGTGCTGGGCAACGATTCAAATTTTTAATCGCGATTAATCGCATGATTTTCTGCGATTAATAAAAGACGTTAAAGACATTATAGACATTAAAGATGTTGAAGACGATAAAGACGATAAAAACGTTGAAGACCTTAAAGACATCGAAGAAGATAATAAGAAACATAACAGAAACTGTGACTTTATTTCTTTAAAGTAAAATGGCCAATAGTGTGTGGACAGCAGTGTGTGTGTGTGTGTGTGCGTGTGCGTGCAGTGGAGCAGGGTTAATAGAGTTAGCCGGCTGTAATAAACCTGTCTGATCAAATGATCACTACAAGGAGAGATACACCTAAACACACACAGACACACACTCACTTTGACATCTATTACCGCTAACAGCATTGTCATTGTCCTGTCGCTCATTAGATTAGCATAGATTAGCCTTGACATGCTAAATCAATTAACCCCGACACCTCGCTGATGATGTCATGACACACACACACACACAATCTTTATTAAACTGAGATATGAAAACATATAAAAGCTGTTTTCTTGATAAAGCAAAGTTACCTCCTGCTCTCTCTCCATTCATTCACTCATCTCAGTGTGTGTGTGTGGGGGGGGGGATCAGAGGTTAAATGTCAGTACAACTGATTGGAGTCAAAGAGGTCAACGCTGCAGGAAGAAAACACAAACAGAGAAAATACTGAAATCTACTGAGGACACTTCAATAGAAAAATAACCTCTCACCGTTAAAGTGAATGTGAATCTGTCCGTGAACCGTCTGGAGAACATTCAGTCTGAACTGATGCAACAGCACTCCGTCTGTGTTGTAAATGTTAGTGTGTTCGTTGGTGGTCTGAAATGGTTTGCATCCGTTTTATCGTTTGAATCTTCTGGTAGCATGAGTCACCAATAACTTGGACATACTGTATAGAAGTTGTGTCTGTGGGAGGTCTGTACACAGTTTACTCTTTTAGTCGTTTTGATTGTCTTAAACTTGTTTTGCATCTCTTTGTCGTGATTTTGTATCTCTTTGTAGTTGTTTTGTTTCTCTTTGTAGTTGTTTTGTGTCTCTTTGTAGTTGTTTTGTGTGTCTTTGTGGTTGTTTTGTGTGTCTTTGTGGTTGTTTTGTTTCTCTTTGTGGTTGTTTTGCATCTCTTTGTATTTTTTTCTGTCTCTTTGTTGTTTTGTGTCTCTTTGTATTCATTTCGTGTCTCTTTGTAGTTTTGTGTCTCTTTTAGTTGTTTGTCTCTTGGTAGTAGTCTCTTGTCTTCAGGCTGCACTATTTTAGACTAATGTAATGTAACATGTAGAACAGACAGACCATGTTTGCAGCAGATACAGAGTTTGTGTTGCAGACTCACAGAGTTACAGTTTGTGTGTCGAGGTCTGAATCAGAGAAACGCTGCGGGTTTTTACTGTCTGACTGAACCACAGAAGAAGAAAAGAGAGACATGAGGGGGAGGAGGGGGAGGAGGGCAGCACCTCGCCTCAGGGCGCTTTCACCGTCATCCCCAACACACACACACACACACACATACACACACACACAGCTGCTTTCACTGATGTCTTACTTTTCAGTTTAAAAGCCTTTTTATTTTTATTTATATATTTCAGTATTTTTTTGCTTTTCCATTTTCAGGTCAGGGTTAAACTTTGCACTTTGTGTGTGTGCGTGTGTGTGTGTGTGTGTGTGTGTGTGTGTGTGTGTGTGTGTGTGTGTGTGTGTGTCTGTGTGCGTGTGTGTGAGCAATCAGACAAATGGATGTTTTTTTTATTCACACACTCGGAATAGAAATAGAGAAAATAAATCAAGCTTTTAAGACGGACAGAGTGTTTTTTCTGAGTGTGTGTGTGTGTGTGTGTGTGTGCATGGAGATACAGATGATGGTAGATGGACAGACGAGAGGATAAAAGGATGTTTTTGTGGTTTTCTTTGCAGTGGTTATACAAGAGACAGATGAATAGAGATGTGAAGTATAAAAAGACTTTATGAAAAGAGTTTACTGAAGACAACATGAATTATTTCAGTTCCGCAACGAACAGAAATTTTTATTAACAATGAATCTGCTGCTTTATTCTCGATTATTTTCCAACAATTTGAAATTGTTTCGTCCGATCAAATAACATTTAGAAGAAAGTCATTGAGACAAATCAAACCTTTAAATCCAGCAAACCTTCTGTGTTTCCATGCAGCAGATTCAGCAACATTCTTCACTTGGTCGTGATTTCATTCTAGTTTCTTTGTGATTATGATGATGAATTTAGTTGTGGTCAGCTTATTGTAAAAGTTGATCATGATAAACTGGTGAACACATGAAGTCACAGTTAAAAACTTCTCCTTGGTGGTGCGTTCAGGGTTCACAGTTAATGTGATGGTTTAGTAAATTTCTCCTTGGTGGTGTGTTCAGGGTTCACAGTTGATGTGGTAGTTTA